CATCAGTTTCATATAGTTTAAATTCTTGTGTTATTTCTGTGTTAGCTGGCCCATTTCTGTAGGGTAAGCAATTAAAAAGATGTACAATTTTGCAGACAAAGGATGTAAATTCTGCAATGGAGGCTTCTAAAAAAGCACAGAATGCTTTTGCAGCTGCCACTGCAAATCTTGGAGAGGCAGAGAATAAAGACGCTGTTATTTCCGTTAAACGGGTTATTGACTTCAGTTTCCAGGATGTAGAGGAGCTAATACGTTTGGTGCGGCAAGCTATTGAGGCAATTAACCATAATGGTTTTGGTGGCAGCAGAGGCTAAATCAACCCTGTATATTATGTGGTTTTGCTTGTTTTCTCCATTCACAAGCAGGCTCTTGGATATGAGAAGGAACTGAGGACCTGCAGTGCAATTTGGTGAAGAGGCATGCTGTTAAGTGTGTTATATTCCTGTACATGTGTACAAAGTGGGATTGATTTGCTATTTCATGAATTTTTGAGAATTCAACTTTTTGGTATATGATAAGGGCATAGCATGCTCAACGTTAAAATTTACAGGTTGGGTACGAGGTGTATAAAGTTTCAATCTTCAAGGATAAGACTCGGAATTCTCTTAAGATCCAGTTTTGAATATTAGGTTCTTTCTGTTGGGAATAGTCAAACATAGGAGTATGAATATTGAGAGCATTAGGTAACATATCTAAGGAGAAACGAGTTCCAATGTAGTCCCAATGATTCATCCTTTATTAGAGTACTTGGATCCTTGGGTTGCCGTATACAACTTCATTTTTTTATAATTGAACACAAGGCACAATTTTGGTGGAGGAATTTAGTGGACTTACTATATTATCCGTCATTAATTCTTTTTTCTCCTTCTCTTTTAAGTTTTTTATCTGGTGAAAATAAGCGACTGATTCTGTCTCACAAATTTATATTATGTACTTAGAAGATTACTAAGGAGTTCTGCCAAAAAAGAAAAAAAGAAAAAAGAGTGAGGAGAAAAAGAAAAGAGATTGCTATAGAATTGCAATTTTGTGGTAAAAGAAAGGAATATATAACATGGAGTTCATCACTTATGTCCGCACGCCTACAGTCTTCAACATCTAATCGGCTTTTGCTCTCTTTACTAAATGAGCCGAGAAGGTTGGGTGTGCGGGTTATATTTTTTGGACAGCTGGTATCGTTTAAATCTGCTGATCTTAGAAAGTGCTGCAGAAGAACTTGAAGTCTTGCTGTAAGTTGCACCATATTACCTTGCCTTTGTTTCCTTCCATGTTTCCTGTGTGAGTTTTCAGCTGATCTTATTGCGGGGAACATCAAAACTGTTTAGTGCAGTAAACAAATTGGAAAATGTGTTTCTCCTGAGACACAGTCAAATCCTGGTTGCTCCCTGTCTGTGTTCCGGAAAGACATGACAGGTAAGGCTATCATCTGTGGTTCTTTGCTCTTTTCACTAGATATTTTATTTCAAGTTTCTAGCCTGCTTAGATGACAAATAAATAATTGAATCTGTGTTGCGTGCCAGCAAAAGTTTGCTTATTTAATGACTGACCCCAAATGAATTATCTTTGAGAAGGAATTAGGCTGACCCCAAATGCATTATTGTTTTATTCTGGTGCCTAAAGCTACATTTCTGACTTGATAGTGGTATATCAAGATGTATACTGAGCTGAATAACTCTTGTTTCTAGTCCAATTATTACTTGATGCAACAAAATTAAAACAGATCAGAATTGGCTTGTTGAAACATTTGAGAATAGAAGGTTATGGATGCTAGTTTCATAATATAGCAATCTTTCCTCAGGGAGTAGCTTTCATTTTTGGATTTGATCTAGTTTGCTTTTCCTTTTGAACCTTTAGTTTCCAGGAAAAAATGAGAGCATTTTGATGCTTACAACTGATAACTTCCTCTGATTGGGTTGATGGTTTCTTAGTCATTTTCTGCTCAAAGTGCTGATACAAGCATTTTCTGCTCAAGTGCTGATATACAATTATGCAACTGCTAAACAGTTTCCCTGTAGGCATGTGAAAAGGAATCCGCATCTTGGATGAAGATATTTGTCCCTCGGGGTGGGGGGTGGGGGGATCGCTCCGATCAACTCTAGTCTCTCAAATTGCTTACTTCTATCATGTCCTTGTTGTAACTCCTAGTTATGTGGATGAAAGATAGGGAAGCTCCAGAGTTAATTGGGATGGCAAAAGTTATAACCCCAAATATTTACCTTGTAAAGGGGGGTCTCCGCACTGGAAAACTGAACGACTATATACATGGTTTTGCTTATGAAATGGTTTTGATGATTTAGTTCTGAAGTGAGTTCTTTGTGGCCTGAAGTAATATTGAGTAGATATTGTAATAGTAGTAGGATGATTGGTGAGACTGTTTATGTTGTGTTGGCGTCCTGTTGATGTAGTCGTCATATTACAGTGGTTAAGGCAGTGAGAGATACGGTGAGGTGGACAAAAAGTGATGATTTACTGCCACAGGTATGTACTACGTAACGAGTGATGGAGAATGTTCTACCAGCTAAATTTATATGTGCGGAACAAGTCCCCAGTAAAGGCAGCTTTCTTTGCATGAGAGCTTGGTTGGGCTTACTGAAAATGGCCTGATGCAGAATCTCAAATTTTGAGAAGGATTCTTATCAACTTTTCTGATGTGTCTTAAACGCGGAGATGTCTCACTATAGTTGTGTGACTGGCACATGCCAACTGAATCATGCTGGAATAAATGAGGAGATTTTGTTATGCTGCTCCTTGCTTGAGAAGGGGAATAGTGAGGGAAAAAAAACAACTATGAGAATTCATCGCGTATCTGCTTATTTTAGTGTACCTGGGAGTCCTTTTTCTTCTTGAGTTGAAGAAACAACTACTACATCAATCTCATATCATAGACAAATGTAACTTTCTCCTTATGAAACTGCACCACACAGATCCAAGTTTGGGTCACAACTGGATGTTACACTTGGGCTACTTGGTTTTAGTTCTGGTTTTGTACTTGTACTCGCACGATTGTAAACGTCTGTAATTCAATTAACATCTGTAATTCCATATCGGATTTTGGCTGTAAGTATAAGGATTGGCTGTATTCCTTTAATCTCTTTTCTTAAGCATGTCAATGCATTTCTTTTAGTTGGTCTGCTTAGTATGAATTTCAGAGTGTTGGAAAGCTACAGGTCTCTCGGGCTTGGAATTTGGCAACTTATCCAAGGTAAATCTTCTGAAACATGAAGGCACTTAATCATAATATGAAGTGAATCCCAAGTGCTGTTTTTTGTTTTCGGCCACTAGGTTGAACCATTGTTGAACTTCAAAGTCATGTAGGACTCAATGAGGTAAGGTACTTCATCCTGTCTTCATGTCTTACTTTTGGTTATTAATGTACATGGTATGAGTTGAAGGGGAGCCTTGGCGTAACTGGTAAAGTTGTTGTCATGTGACTAGGAGGTCACGAGTTCGAGCCGTGGAAACAACCTCTTGCAGAAATACAGGGTAAGGCTGCGTATAAATGACCCTTATGGTCCGGCCCTTCTCCCGACTTCATGCATAGCGGGAGCTTAGTGCATCGGGCTGTCCTTAATGTACATGGTATGAGTTAGTGCCAAATTCCTTACCACCAAAAGGTGGACAAAAATATGTAGAAGTAAAACAAGATATTCTTCTAGTCACGGGAAAAAATGTAAAAAGGAAAAAGGAAAAAACAAAAAAAAAATGTTTTTAAATCAAGAATTGTTCTTTTTCCATAGTTTGGGACAAAAATTACAAAAGGGAAATGTGGAAGAAAATGTAAAGAGAATCACGCGTTGTCTGGTGAATCAAAATGTTGAAAGCAACAAACTCAGTTAACTCAATTTGGTCGAATGTATCTTTCAATCCAATGTTGCACTCAGTCAGAGGTCACCTTTTTCTTCTCCTTTTACCTTTCTTTCTCCTTTCTGAAAGCCAGCCCCCCCTCCACTCACCCGAACACTGTATCAAAGTAAAAACGAAGATAAACAACTAATCGGCAAACGGTGCACTAACTCCTTCTATGAGCAGTGCCCGAGGAAGGTTTGAACCACATTTTCTATGCAGAATTATGTTGCATTTCTACAAGAAGTTGTTCTTGCGGCTTGAACCTGTGTCCTCCCGGTCACACGACGGTAATTTTTACCGTTGCGCCAAGATTTCCTTTCTAATCCGCAAAAATCATGAAATAAAAAGTAGACAATAAAAATAATATTGCAATTCAATATTCGCTTTTTTTAGTATTAGTTTAATGCAAAATGTGGGTATGGACGGGTATGCTTAAAAAGCTCTCTTTTATTCAGTGAAGATGGGAAAGACAAAGGGGAGATGATGACAACTTCACTAGATTTGGTCTGCACAAATGGGAGACATCAACTTGTAATCACAGCAATGGCCCCTACCACAAATTTCCATTCATTTTTCATTAGAGACAACCATAGTACTATTACCCGTACCAAACAATTACATTCGATATGAATGATGTCCACTTTACTTATGCGCGCTTTAACTATTTCATCATGAGTTAATACTAACTCCTCAATCTCCCGAATTTTGATTTTGTGAAATTTGAGTAGAAGAATTTTATAAGTTTTGCCTCGAATTCAAATAATTTTTAATTTTTTTAAAAGATATTTCTAATTTGAACCTAATAGAGGAATCAACTGAAATTCAAAGTTTTTCATTAACCATGTGTGGTACGCAAGCTAACATGCTTTTGGAGGTGTACTAGAAACGTGGCCTATAATGTTTTTGGACTGATTCTGCCAAATCACATTAAATTAAGAATTTATATATGTTCTTTCACCCACCCTTGCAGAAAAAGGAAGAGAGTTGATTTATTGAGATGCTGATGCTATGTTACATATTGAAAATTGGTGATTGGATGGAAATGCAAGCAATTATAGAACTTGCATGACTGAATCTATTAAAGTGCATAAATTATGGACCCACACAATTAAAATCAAAGCTGGTCCCTCTTACTAGCCATAGTGTACTATTACCTGTACCAACAATTACATTCAATTCCAATTTCCAATCCCTTTTGTCCTTCAATAGTTGCAGCTACCAAAAAGATTTACTACTAGTTTGCAGCCAAGCACATTTCTTTTTTCTGTTGGAGTGTGATATAGAGGGAAGTGGAGGATCAAAATTGAGGGGGTATTTTTGGAGCCTGATTTGTCTTGACATAGTGCCTTTTTCAATTCTTTGGCGAATTATCGAGGGGTTTGGTATAATGGTTAGAATCTAATCTATCCATAGTCAAAGATTTTGAGTTCAAGCATCGAAAAATCTTTGGGTAGAGCACTTTACTCCCTTAGCGGGTCTATCTAGTGCGAATTCAAATTAATAGTGCCCCTTATAAGTGGGAGGTTGGCTTACCTGTCATGAAAGAACATGTCATAATAAACAGATATAAGTTGTTGATCGGGAGGTTAGATCAATATGTAGAATCAACCACTGACGCTTACATCTTCCTCGGGCTCAGTGTGAACGGGGAAGGTTTGTGCACATGACCTCCCTCTTGTTTGATTAACCCTTAATGCAACTTAACAGGGGAGTTTCTTCAATCAATAAAACTAATATGCTTTTCATTGTTTGGAGAGGACATATTTACAAAAAGTAGCTAAAAAGGAAAGAAAAGAAACAAAAAAAAACAAGTCTTCTATTAGGAATGAATTGTTTGTACTCAGAACTCAAGATGCTGATGCTATGATCCATATTGAATGTTGGTAATTGGATGGAAGTGCAAGCAATTATTGGTTTATATATTACTACATTTCTAGACTATAGAACTTGCATGAATGAGAATTTATTAAAGTGCATCAGCTAGGGACCTACACAATAAAATCAGAGATGCATCATTTTTTGTCACTCTTTACCCTCTATAAGTACTTGACATTTTCTGAATTTAATGAGTAGAGACTTTCACAACCTTGACTAGTTGTTTTGTAAGAAAAAAATTTCCAACCCCACCAAACAAAAGTACCATTTCCCAAAAACAAAAGTTGTGCTAGAAAATGGCTCCAGTACCAAGTTTTCCTGTTAAGGTTGGTCACATTGATGATGTCCAAGAATTGAAAAAGACTAAGCCATCTTCTATTCCTGAAAGATTTGTAAGAGATATGATAGAAAGGCCAAAACTTGCCACAGTTACTACTCCATCTTCTTGTAACCTTAACAACATTCCTGTTGTTGATTTGTCCAAAATCTTGAAAGGCAACAAAAATAGTCAGGATTTCCACTATGAAATCTTGAAGCTTTCTAGTTCCTGTGAAGAGTGGGGATTTTTTCAGGTACTTAACTTTTCCCCATTCTGTCTCTTTCCATATTCTTGAGTCGAGCGTCTATCGGAAAGCCTCTCTACTCATCCGGAGTAGGGGTAAGGTTTGCGTACACACTATCCTCCCCAGACCCCACCCACTTGTAGGATTTCACTGGGTTGTTGTTGTTGTAACTTCTCCGCATTCAACATTTTTTAATCTAAAAGATTATGGGATTCTAACTTTGGTTTATTATGTTATAGGTGATTAACCATGGGATTGATTTGGACTTGCTTGAAAAAATGGAGAAAATAGCTATGGAGTTTTTCATGCTACCTTTAGAGGAGAAACAGAAATATCCAATGGCTCCTGGAACAGTTCAAGGTTATGGTCAAGCTTTTGTTTTCTCAGAAGATCAAAAGCTTGATTGGTGTAACATGTTTGCCCTTGGTGTGGAACCTCATTTCATTAGAAATCCAAAACTCTGGCCAACAAAGCCAGCTGATTTCAGGTAAGCCTAAACTTCAGCTAAAGAAAACAAGTTGAAAAAATATAACTGTTTGATCAGCAAGTGCAAAACACTTGTAAATTGGGTGGGGACCACCTTAGATTGACTACTAGTACTAGTTTAAACAAGAAAAGATCATTTTTTGTAACTTGGGTGGGGACCACCTTGATTATATCGCCATATCGCGGTACAGGTACCGAGTAACGTTGTCACTAAGCTTAGGCAGATAGGGAAAGAGCACCTTGCGTTATTTGTTTCTGATAGAATTTGAACCTGATTTCTCATGTATTTAATCCACTTCATTAATCGCTCGTTCTTGGAGCTCAACTTTTGTTCCCTTTTTGCAGTGAAACAGTAGAGATATACTCAAGGGAGATAAGGAAGCTATGCAAGAATTTACTAAAATATATAGCACTGAGTCTTGGACTGAATGAGGATATTTTTGAAGAAATGTTTGGAGTTGCTGTACAAGCATTGAGGATGAACTACTATCCAGCATGTCCTAGACCAGATCTTGTTTTGGGACTAAGTCCCCACTCAGATGGAAGTGCACTTACAGTTTTACAACAGGGTAAAGGCAGCTCAGTTGGCCTACAAATACTTAAAGAAAATGTTTGGGTGCCTATCCAACCAATTCCAAATGCACTTGTTATCAACATTGGTGATACCATTGAGGTATGCATTCTTTTTCCATTTCTTGGATTATTTTAGTACCTTTTATTATGTTGATAGGTTTATTGGATATTTCTAAACGTATGATAGTCACTGAGAAGGGGAGCCTGGGCATAACTGGTAAAGTTGCCTCCATGTGACCAAGAGGTCATGGGTTTGAGCCGTGGAAACAGCCTCTCGCAGAAATGTAAGGTAAGGCTGCATACAATAAATTATTGTGGTCCGGCCCTTCTCCGGACCCCGCGCATAGCGGCAGCTTAGTTAGGGTTGTTCATTTGGATCGAATATCCGAAATCCGAACCGATCCGTTCAATTTCGGATTGGATCGGATTTCGGATTGTGTTTATTAAAATTTCGGATTTCGGATCAGATTCGGATTGGTATAATTTTAAGCTGCTTAGTGCACCAGGCTGGCAGGCTACCTTTTTTCCTTTTATTTTCTTAATAATAAAGCCTTTGATATTTATATCTGTTCACCAAATCTTGTTTAGTTCCATCCAAGTTCGGTTTTGTCTAAAGTTATTTTTTTTCAAAATAGGTTTTGACTAATGGGAGATACAAGAGTGTGGAGCACAGAGCAGTGACTCACCAAGAAAAGGACAGACTATCAATTGTGACATTTTATGCACCAAGTTATGAAATTGAATT